TTCAAATTTCCTAATCACATGCAATTTCACTCCCAGCATTATTATTTTTTTATTTATTTGCTGTACTTTTATCTTTGTTGGCTAATTCTCTCTTTTGATGATCCATTTTTGTAAAACATCATGTGAGTTTATCACTGGGAAACAATGAGGCAACACAACTACATGCTTTGCTGTCTGTGTGTAAACTGAAGAACTGAAAAACAGATGTGCAGTGACCAATAACAGACAGATGCTGAAAGAAGGATTGGACAGAAGGTTTGTGTTCCCCCAAAATTCCTATGTTGAAGCCCTAATCTTCAATGTGTTAGTACTCAGAAGTGAGGCCTTTGGAAAGTAATTAGGTTTAGATTAGGTCATGAGATGGGGATTAATGTTCTTATAAAAAGAGAAAGAGACACAGATCTCTGTGTCTCTGTCTCTATTTCTCCCTCTCTCTTTCTGCATGCACCCACCAAGACCATGTAACCAGGAAGAGGGACCTCACTAAGAATCCCACCAAGCTGGAACACTGATCTCAATTTCCAGCCTTCAGAATTCTAAGAAATAAATGTTGTTTAAGCCACCCAGTCTATGGCATTTCATTATACTAGCCTGAGCTAAGACAATACCCATCTGTTATATGCATAGTGATTTGTGGACTAAAGAGCTAGCTGTGAAGTTTGTACTTTATGTAATTACTCACTGTTAATATACCATCATAATTAAAATTTAAACCCATGTTGTTGAAGAGCTGGCATGTTTTAACTAAACAATGGTGACTAAAATGTGTGCATCCCAGAACCACAAAGTGAGGACTGCCTTGTTGGATGGCTCATCAGTGTGGAAATTGAAGTCACAAAGAATGATGGCAGGAGATGGACAGAGATGAAGATTGTGATGCAGTAGCTCAAGTCTTCAAATTATTGAGAAGTGTGGCATTGTGGAATACACTGTATATTTTTGGTCTTTGTCCCTGTTTCCTGGAATACAACTCCTAAAATCCTTGGTGTCTCCAAAGTGATGTCTTTTGTATGATAATGAATTGACTGGTGGCTGGCAACCCCTAGGTAGCTTTAGGATGGGGCTGGTAACCTGAAAGACCAAGGCAGGATTAAAGGATCAGGACTTTTAGCCTCGTTTCTCCAATCTCTGGGGAGGGAAGAGGGCCAAAGGTTAATAAAAACCCAAAAGGACAGGGATTGAAGAGCTTTCTTATAGATGAACACATGGAAGTTCCTGGAATATGGTGTGGTGAGACAAGGGAGGGCATTAAAGCTCCATGCTCTGTCCCCCATACCTCGCCCTGTGAATTTCTTCTGTATCTTTTGTAACATACTTTATAATAAGCTGGTAAATGTAAGTAAGTGTTTTCCTGAGTTCTATGAGCCAATCTAGCAAATTAAACCCAAGGAGGGGGTCATGGGAACCAGTCAGTCAGAAACACAGGTAAAACAACCTGGGGCTGGACAACTGGCATCAGAATTGGGGAGCAGTCTTGTGGGACTATGCCCTCAACTCGTAGAATCTGGTGCTGTCTCAAGGTAGATAATGTTGGAATCAAATTGGAGGACACCAGCTGGATCCGCTGCAGAACTGCTGCTTGTGTTGGGGGAGAAACCCCCACACATTGATCACAGAAGTCTTCAGTGTTGGTTGTGGTGTGAGAACATAGGAAAAACTGAGGGGTTTTTTTCCCCCACATGAGAAGGAATAATCCAGGGACTACAGACAACAGCAACAAACAGAGGTAAAGGGTTACATATCCAGACAGCATAAATTTCCAAGAGCTACACTTTTTTAAGGTCAAAGGGGTTGCCCACCCTACCTCCTGCTCTGAGGCATCAGCGACTGAGAGAAAAAATAGCTTTCACTTGAAAGGGCTGCACTGGGACTCTTCCTCAGGTAAAAGTCAGTTTGCTGTTAAGAAAAAGAACTCAAAATACATCTGGAGGAAAGGCCGGGAATATAGAGGACTTTGACAAACCATGTAAAGGAATTACCATAGCCCACTAGAAAATGCTTGGAGAAGCAAGCAGTCAGATTAGAGGACGTTCAGATTCCTGGCAGTGACTGAAGTAAATATTGATGTGATATTTCCTGTGATTGGTCTTTATGGTTCCTTAAGGACAGTGGGCAGTTAATTCAGAAGTTATGGTCCTGAATATCTAGCATGATAGTCTGGTGGCTTCAAGGTGACTGCACCCTTTTATAGGCTCCTGACAAAGGGCTGCCTAGGTGGAGTGGAGAAGTAGGCGGATGATAGTAAAGCAGAGGTTTTCTTGGTATAAACCTCAATATAGCTTATAGGGAAGAAGAGGTGGGAAGGGGTTGTGATGGGGGAGGCAATAATAGAAATGTGCACGAGATATTATGAGGTACAAATGAGGGAATCTAACCCAACCTGGAGCAGAAGTGAGAGAGAAGTGGGGTTGGCAGCGAGAGGTGCTGCTAGGATTCGAGGTGTTTATAATGCATCTGGAATCCTTAAACCTCAGAAAATGAGAGTATTTATATTATGGAGAATCTAGACCCTAAGAGCAGGCAGAAGAATTTGTATTCTCAAAAGGCAATCGAGAACCACTGAGGGGTTTTGAGACAGGGAGTGAAACAAAGTTATGACTCCAAGATAACACCATCAGTTCTGTGTGTGTGGTGGGGGATGAGACTTGAGACAAAGAAAACTAGGTCCCTCGGTTTTTCTCCCTGGCCATGACTAACAGAGGCTTAGTTGCTTAAAACCAGCCCCACAATACAATGGAAGTTCAGTAAAGGCAAGGGCCTCATCTGTTTTTTTCACCATGATACAATCTACACCTCACATAGTGCCTGGAACACAGCAGATGTATGAGACTGCTTAACAAAAAATTAACAAATAGATGAACAAAAGAAAGGGGCTACTGAAACAAATGTGCAGGAAGTGAGGACCCAGAGTGGCAGATACAGCAGGAATGACAAAGAAGGGTAATGCTGAGCCATTTCAAAAAAATTAGAATCTGTAGAATTTAACAACTAAGTGTATTTGGGAGTTGATAGAAGGGCAAGAGAGGGCCGAGCCCATGGCGCACTTGGGAGAGTGCGGCACTGGGAGTGCAGCAGCGCTCCCGCCACGGGTTCGGATCCTATATAGGGATGACCGGCGCGTTCACAGCGCTCACTGGCTGAGCGCGGTGCGGCCGGTCTCGAACAAAAAAAAAAAAAAAAAGCTCCCGCCACGGGTTCGGATCCTATATAGGGATGACCGGCGCGTTCACAGCGCTCACTGGCTGAGCGCGGTGCGGCCGGTCTCAAAAAGAACAAAAAAAAAAAAAAAAGAAGGGCAAGAGAGACAGCAGAGCTAAGGCAATTCAGAGAAGTCAAACCTAGCGACAGCAGATAACATCTTAGGCTTGGAATGCTCTGTGCATAAGTGCTCGATTACATATTGTCTAAATTAATTCACATGCTAACCTTAGGAGAAACGTATAACTCTCATTTTACAAGTAAGTCTGTGAGGCGGTCAACTTGATCACTAGGCATTATATTTTGCAACTCATTTATCCTGACAAGTTCATCAGGAAAATGCATTGCTTAACATGACATATTTCATATATATATATATATATATTTTTTTTTTTCCTTTTTGTCTCTTTTCGTGACCAGCAACGGATCGCAACCCTCAGTGTCGCGCCCGTACCGGACCGGGACCGGCAATGGGATCGCAACCCTCGGTGCTGCGCCCACACCTCGCTCAGCCAGTGAGCGGCCGGTCTGTATGTGGGATCCGAACCCTTGGCAGGAGCGCCACCGCGCTCCCAAGCGGCGCACTGTAGCAGTGCGCCACCGGGCCAGCCCCATATTTCATATATTTATTACCGATTTTTAATTTGGCCAACATTAGCAATTCATAACTCCTTTTCTGAAGATTCTTTGGGGTACAACTATCATGTCTATGCTCTGCAGTACAGAATTGTTAATCCTAAATTACTCACTCATTCTGCTCCAAATGCTAAAGTATGGCTCAAATGGTTTTCTGAGAACAATTCTCACCAGGCTTTCACACACTCCCTCAGCCCAACTCCACTTGTGTTGTTCAGGCAGGACCTGCAGTTCAGGTCATCGTCTCTCATAAACAGAAACAGCAACACCAACTCATCATACAACATAAGTGAAAAGAAAACCTTCCTCTACTTATGTGTTTACAGATCATTCAACTAATGGGTAATTCAACTGACCTATTGGACCAGGTGTTCTCAGTTCTGAGTACAAATGTGAAAATCATGCTGTTTATCGCAGACATTACTGGTTGCCTCCCCAAGTCCACCATGCTTCCATGCTAGTAGATCTCAATTTGTACATTGCATAAGCACACTCTTTTGTGTGCTTCAGGGAAGCTTAGCTCTAGCTCCAACCCCATGGGTGGGTTATGGCTGGTCTAGTTATGGCAGCATGATTAAATTCTGCCAAGGTAAAGAAATGAACATGGAAGTCTGTGGGGAGAGTAGGAAGATGGAAAGAACCTGGATCCTTGGTCAAAAGCCTGGGAAATAAAATTTTCCTCATTTTTTAAAATAATTATGTTGGGCTTTTCAGTTCTCACGTCTAAGAAGAGTCTAACTAACAGACCAGCAAATAGAAAAACTACACATTTGTAAGCATTTTGATTGGAGAGGGAGGATATTAGATAGGGAAGTAGTAAAAATATTAACATCTTTCCTTCAAATGTGATAATTTCTTTTAAAAGATGAATACAAAGTACTAAAATACTATCCAAAATGTGCCTGCCCTCAGAAGTTTTCCAAACTCTATCTTAACATCTACTTAATTTGACAGTTTTTTTGGTCTCCAGACCTTTATTTTTTTTTTTTTAAATTTTTATTCTTAATTTCCTGTAGAAAATTCTAATTTTCTTAAATTTAAAAAGAATAATAAATATGTTCACTATATTATAATCCACTGAAGAATTCATGCATATACACACACACATCTCTTACACAACTTTGGGGTAATAGAATGTTAATTAATATAAGTAGTAAGCATAAATGTAAAAAATCTAGCTTTTACTTTGTTGTCAAAAGAATACAATAAGAAGCCTCCACTGGAAATAGCAATGTAACTAATCAAAGATACTATGAAGTTCACAAGTCTACAAATTTCACTTGTTTTTGAAAAGTTGGGAAGTAAACACTCTCTAGTGTATGGAACAAGCTATTCACAGTACAAAGCAAACACCAAGGCCAGAGCCACGAAAGATTCGGTTTCATGCTTCACTGCAACCCAGCTGTCCCATGCAACATCCCAGATCCATCTGCTGGCAACCTGCGAGAGAAATGTTTGAGACCAACTTCAGGTTGAACACGTTAACAAGTAGTTTTCAAATCTACACTAGCTTGATTTTTTAAAACATGGTATCAGTATCTTGGAAAGTTATATTTAAGAAGTAATTTTCCCAATTTTCCTTCATGAAAAGACTTGAGTGATGCTGCTTCGGTCCACCCTTCTCTTTCACTGGAGGCTGGTAGTTACCTAACTCAGAGGGACGCTACCTTCCCTGGTGTGTCCAGGGCAGGAACAGTGGCTCCTGTAATGGGGTCTATTAGCTCTGCATATAGTACTATCCTGCTATGTTAAAGTCCTTGATCATGAATTCTTCTCACCACCCTTAAATGATTTTCAATCTTAACTTTGTTCGAACCTTGCCTTGAAATGAAGAAATGGCATTGAGTACACAAGCTGGCTGTTGTGGAAAACCCTCAACCCTTTGTCCCGTTTATAAAGCCACACGTGATCTGACTACAGCCTAGTTCTCTGTGGTGGATCTGGAGTGGCCACACATCCCTTGAATATGAGTTGGTCGTGTGACTTGCTCTGACCAACAGAACAGGACATTGTGCAACTTCCAAGCATGGCCTTCACAGATCCTGAAGCTTCTGCCCTCACCCTGGTGAAATGCTGTGCCCACGTAAGGAAGCCCACTCGATCCACCAGAGGATGATGGCTCCCATGTAGGAGAAACCAGTGCCCCAACCAACAGCCAGCACAAGCCTCCAGGCCCAGTGGGTCATCAGATGGCTGCACGTGCATCATTAAGACTTACAGAAAAGCCAAGCAGCTGACCCAGCTGAGCTGACCCACAGAATGGTGAGCAAACAAACAGCTTTGTTTTAAGCTACTGAGCTCTGGGGTGGTTTGCTGAACAGTAATCCCCTCTCCCCATACTACTGCTCTCCACTAGCTAAACAGAGCCCAGCTACTCCTGTTACTTATCAAGCACACCAACTCCTGCCTTAGCATCTTTGCTTGGGTCCTCATCATCCAGACCGCAGAGGGTCTTCCCTTCTCTAGATGAGCCCACATAGCCACTCTGTCACTCTGCCATATTACCTACCTGAATTTTCTCTCTAGAGCACGCGTCACCATCTAGAACCTTCCTATTACTGAAATGTGTATGCTGTCTGTGGTGGAACTTCCTGGGCTGGGATCGCCTCTGTCCCACTGACGGTGGCTAGACTCTCCTCCCACACGCCATTCAACTGTCCCCTCCTCCACGAAGCCTCTACAGAGTGTTCCAAACAGAAATTTTCTCTCTTTTATTCCCAACTTCCACATATTCACTATCAACTCCCTGGATACTCACACTGCCTAGTGGTATTATCTTTTTAATTACAAATAATGATAATAATAGCTTACTGTTTATTGAGAGCTCTGTGCTGGTGACTATATTAAGGATTTTAATAGAGATAATTTCATTTAATCTCCACAATAACTCTAGGAGTAGGTTTTATCATCACCATTTTATAGATTAAAAAAAACTACACCAAGGCCACAGACAGTAGACATCACTGCCATGATTCATACCTAGGCAATCTGACTCCAAAACCTGGGCTGTTTGTATTATCCATTTTATTTTATTCTATTAAATTCTAAACTGTGTTGCTTTAGTTCCTTGACTCTAAAGTAAAAACTCCTTGAGAATCATGGTCCACGTCTTTTATTCTTTGTATTCTCCTCAGCACCTAACACCCACTAGTACCCAAAATAAATTTACTAGTTAATTTGACATTAGTCAAAATTGGTATGAAAACATAACCATGCAATTTAATAAATTATTTATAGCAAATTGCTACTTCTAGCACTTTTCAAATAATTTACAGTGAAATAATATATACTTAACAAAATGATCCTTTAAGTCAAGGGGCACCTTGGGATCTTGAAGTACCTTGGAATTATCACAATAAATATCAAATCACTGGGGAGGAGATACCTTATAGTTCTAATTGATAGATAATTGATAGATGCTGTATCAATGGGATACTTACATTTATTGCTTGGCCAGTCTTTTGAATAAATAATACTTTTACAATGAACTTGTAACGGTGGAACCCAAATTCTTTGACCACTAACAGTATGCGGTCTGCCAATTCAAGTGACAAATGAGAGAAGACTTTGTCATCATACTTGACATCTTTAAGACATTCCTTTAAAAAAAAAATCTAATTTTCAAACCAAGTATTTTCTATATAAAAATTCAAGTAGAAAACGCATCTAAATAATACATATAACTGCTTTAAAAATACAAATATCCCTAACCAAATAATATTAAATAAATTTTATGCTTGCCAATTTATTTCAATAACAACTTTTTTAAAAATTTATTTTGGTTTTTTAACTATGTTCAATTGCTCTTCATTATCAACACTTAACCTGTTTTACTTTTATTAGACTACTCTGTCAAACAGTTATTAGGGAGACCTAAGGGGAATTTTAAAAGAAAGCTCTTGGAAGTTATTGGGGAAAGGAACCTTATTTAATTTATGTATTTGTTAAAATTCAGATTTGTTTTCCTCAAGCAAGGGTAACTTGGATCCAGAGCCTGCATTATGTCTCACCTCTTCTTCAGTTGCCTCGGATTAAAACTAGCTTCTTTCCAGCCCTCTCCAGGTGGTTTCTCACTCCACTGCTTTTTTTCTCTGGCCTCCAGGAAAATGCAGATATTTCTAATCACCTTTATTAATACATTAACATATAGCTTTGGGAAACAGACGTGGCTCACAGGCCATGAAGCACTACTCTTTCTTACAAGCCATGAGCAGAACCGGACTGCCCAGTGAGCAGACCACATGGGCTGTGGACTAACTGGCTTGGTGCACATGACAGCAATGCAATGCTCTAGGTTCTGGGGATAGTGAGTGGACCGTACCAGCTAATTTCTTAGGAGTGTAAGCATGTTTTTTTGTTTGCTTTTGTCTCCCTTCTACAATGCTTCTGGATCAAAAAGTGGGTCCAGCATGTGGCCGTGGCTCTGCCTTCCCGACAATCAACAGCACCTGCACTCCATTCTGAATCTGATTAGAGCTCAAGCTCGGGCTTCTCGGAGTCAAACTCGACCCCTGCTCATCTACCCAGGAGCCCGCCACCCACGTGCTGACTGTATACTTGGCCCTCAGGCCTGGGGTGCTATCCCTAAGTCAGATCTCTCAGAATGGCAACTCCAGGACGTCCACAACGAGAAAAAGTTGCACAGTATTTGACAACTGTGCTTGGTCCCCTAGTGTTTTAAAAGAGTAAAACTGGGCATGTTTATCTTTGGCTGGCTATTACTGCATCCACTTCACTCACTCATATTAATTGTCTGACAGTTTTAAGCAATTGATTGGCAATTAAGCCCTAAGTACATAATTTTAAGAACTCTGAAGACTGACTAGAAAATAAATTTCTTAAACCCAAGGGATTATCCTCACTACTTCCAGGTTTTCCCCAAATTCCTCTCACCTCAATCCTCCACACCTTAAAGCTCCAGGATGCTAACACTGTCTGCCTCCCCATTCACCCCCAAAATCTCTCTCTCGGGATTCTGGTCCTCTTGGCCCTGCCCATTCAGTAGGCTACTTGCTCTTACCTGGACTCTTGCTGTGTTTCAGGCATGAAGTTGCCCAGAGAGCCCCATGTAAAGCCTTAATGGCTTTTAATTTAAAGTGGACAGGAAATGGAGTATACTTTCCATGTCCTCCAAGCCAGAGGGGTCATCTTCCCCCTCTTGGTTCCTACTCACCCTCTACTTACCAGGCTCCTCTGGGTTGCCTCACAGATCCCAGGCTTTATCTCCCTAAGTTCCCCTTTTTAATAAATAATGAACTCTTGCTGTAGGAAGATACCCATGAACTCCACCAATTTCTATGTCTCAACTTTATTCAGTGTTCCCTAAATCAAGGGCACGTGATCTCAAGCCATCCACCTACATGTCCAATAAGCTGTTCCAGGCCCCATCACACACAATGTAATCCGGTGAATTATTACATGTTAACTGCAACTTAAAATCCTACTATATTCAATAAATTCGAATTCAGCCTGTGTGGTAGGGCCAAGTGTGAGACACACCAGAATGTCCATTCTCACATCATGAATGTTTGCTATTAGTGTTTACATCAGAGAAGCAGGTCATGAATAACCCTTGTATTAAATTGATTGAATTTCTTCATTTCCTAAAATATGGCTCATGAGCCATTATATCTGCCAAATATCATCTGAAAATTATTATTTCAGTTTAGAAACATGTCTATGTCTATGGTTGTAGAGGGAGGTTGGAAAGTGGTATAGAGATCAAAATAGACCACATCAAAATGTGCTGCTTTGGCATACTGATTATTTTGAGTTAAAAGCACTTGAAAAAAGCAGATGCAAAAGAACACTCTGACTTTCCTTTTTCTTCCTGAAAGGAGAAGATAAAACTCCTATGTGAAGGTGTCCTCCCTGTACCAGGAGGAAGAGCGATATTATTATTATCAGAGATGGGGCGTGGAGGCCAAGAGAAATATGTACAAACAAACCCTGTTAAACTAACCCTTCTATTCCCAACACTTTTCCACAATTATCTGTCTTAGTCCAAACCCCTTTGTCTGGTCACATTTTCACAATTTATTACCCTTTATTTGAACTACTATGTGAGCATTTAGCTCTAACAGCTTGTGTCCACATTATTCTTGTGAAGTCCTCCACATACAAGTAAAAATTACTAAAGAAACTTTTCATATTTTCCCCCTGTTAATCTGTCTTATGTCAGCTAATTCTTAGTCCATGTGGAAAACTTAAGTAGAGGAGAAACTTTACCTTTCCTACCTTAATATTCACCTAAATATTTTTCTGTCCCTATATCTTAGCCTTTTAATAAAAAGACTAAGTGTCTTTAATTTAACAATATAAGAGCATATGTTTAAGTGATCAGATACAGTCAACACTTAAACTACCTTTAGGACAGAAATTGCTGTTCATGGGGGAAAAGCAAGATGACCGATTAGAAGACCCTACTGCTCATCTTTACCAGAAAGACAGACAAAACAACAAATACACAATTACATTTGGACAGAAATAACTAAAGGAGAGCACCACAGCACATCAAAGGAGTAACAGAAATGCTAGTAAGCACAGAAACTCAGGACAGCCACACAGAGAATGAAAGGTAACATGCAGCCTCTGCTGCACCATCCCACAGCCAGGATCAGCTGGGAACCAGGAGGAACTTCTCCCTGCAGGAAAAAGGTAAGTGACAGAACCCCAGCAGCCCCTATCAACACCTTGGACATGTACCATCCTCACCACTGGTGATCCCAGCAATCTTCATAGGCACTAACCCCAGCTGAGGGTGCAACAGAAAACCATCAAACTGCAATAATAAAACAAGAGGGAAAAGAAAGAAAAAAAAGATATGCAAAGTAACCAAAAAACAATCAATAAAATGACAGGAGTAAGTCTGCACTTATCAATGATAACCCTGAATATAAACAGACTGTATTCCCTACTTAAAAGATATAGACTGGCTGAATAATTTTTTTTTTTTTAAAAAGCAAGACCCAACTATATGTTGCCTTCAGGAAATTCTCTTCACCTTTAAAGACACAGATAAACTGCAAGTGAAGGGATGGAGAAACATTTTCTATGCAAACAGAAACCAAAAGTGAGTAGGAGTAGCTACACTTACATAAACTAAAACAGACTTTAAGTAAAAACTATAAAAATAGACACAGAAGGTCATTATATAATGTTTAAGGGGTCAACTCAGAAGAAGATGTAATAATTGCAAATATATATGCACCCAACATCAGAGCACCCAGATATATAAAGCAATTATTATTGGATTTACAGAGATAGATAGACTCCAATACAATAATTGTTGGGGAATTCACCACCCCACTCTCAGCATTGAACAGATCATCAAGACTGAAAACTAGAAAAGAAATGCTGGATTTTTTTGTGTGTGTGTCCTTTTTGAGACCGGCCGCACCGCGCTCAGCCAGTGAGCGCTGTGAGCGCACCGGTCATCCCTATATAGGATCCGAACCTGCAGTGGGAGCGCTGCTGCACTTCCCAGCGCCGCACTCTCCCGAGTGCACCACGGGCTCGGCCCGAAATGCTTGATTTTAACTGAACTCCAGATGAAGTGGGCCTTAGAGATATTTACAGAAGATTTCATTCAACAACTACAAAATATATATTCTTCTCATAAGCACATAAAACATTCTCTTGGATTGACCATATGTTAGTCCACAAAACAAATCTCAACAAATTTAAATAAACTGAAATTATATCAAGTATCTTCTCTGACCACAATGGAATAAAACTAGTTATCAATAGCAAAAGGAACTTTCAAAATTGTACAAATACATGGAGATTAAACAACATGCTCCTGAACTACCAATGAGTCAAAGAAGAAATTAGGAAGAAAATTAATAAATTTCTTGAAACAACTGAGAACAGAAGCACAACATACCAAAATCTATGGATACAGCCAAAGCAGCCTAAAAGAGAAGTTTATAGCAATAAACATCTACATCAAAAAAGCATAAAGATTTTAAGTAAACAATCTAATGATGCTGAGGGGTTAGAAATCTTGATTCTCCTTTGATTTTAGGATTTTTAGGTAAATGCATGAATGGGGCTAAAGCTTTCAGTTAGGGGACAAAAGTCCACAGATAACTTGGCAAAAGCCCATATAATCATTTCTAATCACAGTTTAGGGATGGGATTGTGTACTTTGACTACTTTAGGTCGCTGGTTCAATTTTGGCTCGAAGGACTATTTGACTATTTAACCTACTGATTGTTGTTAAGATATGTTGAGGAAGCTGCTTGATTGTTGTTTAAATATGCTAAGGAAATTGCTGTAGGGAAAGATGTCAAAAAAGAAAATGTTTGCTAAGGGCAAGCTGTTTGTTGGTGGATCAACTTAGCTTTTACAAATTGCATTCTGGAATGTCACATTGTTAATTTTACTGCTGTTACTAGTTTTACACTGCCTTTGTTTTTATGTTCTTCTTTGATAACTGAATCAACTCATTTTTCTTGTGAAATTTCCTTGTCTTGTCAATAAAAAGAAAAGCTAATTTTGAATAGGGGCTGCTCCCTGATGGGCTGCAGTTCCTCCAGGCCTCATTCATGGTGCTTTGAGTAATTCTTTCTTTTTTCGTCTCCATTACACAGAGGGA